GAGACTTTTGATATCCTTCTTCAAGCATTGGTGGTTCAGTGGTAGAATGCTCGCCTGCCACGCGGGCGACCCTGGTTCGATTCCCGGCCAATGCAACGTTTTAGATATTACATCCGGCAATTTCTACTTCTCGACTTCCAGGAGGCTTTTGATATCCTTCTTCAAGCATTGGTGGTTCAGTGGTAGAATGCTCGCCTGCCACGCGGGCGACCCGGGTTCGATTCCCGGCCAATGCATCGTTTTAGATATTGCATCCGGTAATTTCTACCTCTCGACTTCCATGAGACTTTTGATATCCTTCTTCAAGCATTGGTGGTTCAGTGGTAGAATGCTCGCCTGCCACGCGGGCGACCCGGGTTCGATTCCCGGCCAATGCATCGTTTTAGATATTGCATCCGGTAATTTCTGCTTCTCGACTACCACGAGACTTTTGATATCCTTCTTCAAGCATTGGTGGTTCAGTGGTAGAATGCTCGCCTGCCACGCGGGCGACCCGGGTTCGATTCCCGGCCAATGCATCGTTTTAGATATTGCATCCGGTAATTTCTACTTCTCGACTTCCATGAGACTTTTGATATCCTTCTTCAAGCATTGGTGGTTCAGTGGTAGAATGCTCGCCTGCCACGCGGGCGACCCTGGTTCGATTCCCGGCCAATGCATCGTTTTAGATATTACATCCGGTAATTTCTACTTCTCGACTTCCATGAGACTTTTGATATCCTTCTTCAAGCATTGGTGGTTCAGTGGTAGAATGCTCGCCTGCCACGCGGGCGACCCGGGTTCGATTCCCGGCCAATGCATCGTTTTAGATATTGCATCCGGTAATTTCTGCTTCTCGACTACCACGAGACTTTTGATATCCTTCTTCAAGCATTGGTGGTTCAGTGGTAGAATGCTCGCCTGCCACGCGGGCGACCCGGGTTCGATTCCCGGCCAATGCATCGTTTTAGATATTGCATCCGGTAATTTCTACTTCTCGACTTCCATGAGACTTTTGATATCCTTCTTCAATCATTGGTGGTTCAGTGGTAGAATGCTCGCCTGCCACGCGGGCGACCCTGGTTGATTCCCGGCCAATGCAACGTTTTAGATATTACATCCGGCAATTTCTACTTCTCGACTTCCAGGAGGCTTTTGATATCCTTTCTTCAAGCATTGGTGGTTCAGTGGTAGAATGCTCGCCTGCCACGCGGGCGACCCGGGTTCGATTCCCGGCCAATGCATCGTTTTAGATATTGCATCCGGTAATTTCTACTTCTCGACTACCATGAGACTTTTGATATCCTTCTTCAAGCATTGGTGGTTCAGTGGTAGAATGCTCGCCTGCCACGCGGGCGACCCGGGTTCGATTCCCGGCCAATGCATCGTTTTAGATATTGCATCCGGTAATTTCTACTTCTCGACTTCCAGGAGACTTTTGATATCCTTCTTCAAGCATTGGTGGTTCAGTGGTAGAATGCTCGCCTGCCACGCGGGCGACCCGGGTTCGATTCCCGGCCAATGCATCGTTTTAGATATTACATCCGGTAATTTCTACTTCTCGACTTCCAGGAGGCTTTTGATATCCTTCTTCAAGCATTGGTGGTTCAGTGGTAGAATGCTCGCCTGCCACGCGGGCGACCCGGGTTCGATTCCCGGCCAATGCATCGTTTTAGATATTGCATCCGGTAATTTCTACTTCTCGACTTCCATGAGACTTTTGATATCCTTCTTCAAGCATTGGTGGTTCAGTGGTAGAATGCTCGCCTGCCACGCGGGCGACCCGGGTTCGATTCCCGGCCAATGCATCGTTTTAGATATTGCATCCGGTAATTTCTGCTTCTCGACTACCACGAGACTTTTGATATCCTTCTTCAAGCATTGGTGGTTCAGTGGTAGAATGCTCGCCTGCCACGCGGGCGACCCGGGTTCGATTCCCGGCCAATGCATCGTTTTAGATATTGCATCCGGTAATTTCTACTTCTCGACTTCCATGAGACTTTTGATATCCTTCTTCAAGCATTGGTGGTTCAGTGGTAGAATGCTCGCCTGCCACGCGGGCGACCCGGGTTCGATTCCCGGCCAATGCATCGTTTTAGATATTGCATCCGGTAATTTCTACTTCTCGACTTCCATGAGACTTTTGATATCCTTCTTCAAGCATTGGTGGTTCAGTGGTAGAATGCTCGCCTGCCACGCGGGCGACCCGGGTTCGATTCCCGGCCAATGCATCGTTTTAGATATTGCATCCGGTAATTTCTGCTTCTCGACTACCACGAG